GGGGGGTGTGAGCATATATATATATGTATATGTATATATAGATAGGGTTTAGGGGTTTAGGGGATGTTATATACATACGTATATCCCCCTCAGTGTTCCTACAGATATCCATAAACTCCTGTAACCCCTTTTAAAGGCTCCCTATACATTTCCGCGTGACTCCTACATACACCATGATTCCCAATCCACACGCCTGAAACCCAAATGCCCAATCCTGAAGCCCTAAACCTGAAAATCTTTAATCCAAGAAAACCTCAAAGATTAAATCCTAAACCCTATAAGCTTCAACACCTGAAGCCTGAAGCTAAAACCGAACACCTTAAGTTCTAAACCCTAAGCTTCAACACCCGAAGCACCCTGAACCGAAAACCCTCATTTCCTAACCCTAAACCTCAAACCTGAGACCCGAAACCTTAAACCCTACACTCTGTGTACATCCTTCAATGGCCTGACCCCCGAGGGCCTCTCCAGGGTTTTGTATCCTGCCTTGAGCTTATGCTTGATATGTTGACGGCGTTCCAGACATTGGGGCCAGGTAGCCTCTGTAAAGCCCTAGACCTTTACCCCCCCTTCCTCATCGCTTAATCCCCAAATGCCTCTTGATAAACCCCTAAACGCTAAACCCCAAACCCTAAACCCCTGAACCCTAAACCCCTAAACCCCTAAACCCTGAACCCACCCTAAAGACCCAAAACCTCTAAACCCTAAACCCCCTAAACCCTAAAATCCTAAACCCCTAAACCTTTTTGGGCTCTGAGGCTTCGCCCCTCCGAGCCGAACCCGTTTCTGCGGCGGCGGCCGCCGCTGCGGCCAAGGCCGCTGCGGCCAAGGCAGGCTTGGACTTCAACGGCCCGTTCCAAACATATATATATATATAGATGTGTATATATATATATATCTATATCCCTAAGGTGCAGAATATAAGGATTTTGGGCCCAAAAACCATACTATACAAGGCTTTTGGGCTATTTTGAGCCTTACGGTATATATATATATACATGCACATATAGGGATATATAGGGATATTTAGGGATATAATATATAGAAATATAGGGATAATGGAAAAGGAATGGAAACTACAATTTAGGGCTTAGGTTTATCGGTTGGTACTGCCCCCACTCTATGACAGTTGAACAATGTTTATAATAGACTTTTCTATAGCCCTTAATAAGACCCCTTATACAGACTGTTACAGGGTGGGGGCGCATCCAGAGGGATATCTGGGGATATGCAGGAAGACATTGCTTCGGGGGGGCTTAGGGTTCAGGGCACCCTCGAGGGGAGTTTTTCAACAAAGAAATGCAGAGGGGGCCCATAGACTAGCAAACATAACTCAGGATTCTCAGAGGTTTGTAGCGCATAATAGTGCTGCTCGATGTTCTTTGAAATCTGTTCGTGAAACTGTTGCGCATGCTCTCGTAGTTATCGGAAAGCCTCTTCGCGACCTTTGTGAGGCCTGTGCCGCAAGTTGTAGCAATGCCCCAAGTTGTAGCAATACTTCTCTAGGAGCACCTCCACACTGTGCCGGCAGGTCGAGACTAGTGACTGGTTACGTAGGGGTGGAAGGTGGGGCCTGCCAAAAAGAGCATAGGGTTCTGGTAGATGAGAGAAGGAGTGGCGGAAACAGTAGCAGTAACCGTAACAGTACCAGTAGCACTAGCAGTGGCAGTGGCAGTAGCAGCCGCGACAATGGTAACAGTAGAGCATCCGTAGTGACAACAGAGTAAACAGTCAGAATCATGAGAGCTGTAGAACAGCTTTGGACTGATAGGATCCGCAACGCAAACGACAAAACATGTGATAGTCCTGACATTTACAGGCAGGCGCCAGCGCTGGCGCGAAGACCGTGGCCGCCACTACGGGCGTTGGCGCCGGCACCGGAAAGTCCTTGAGCGGCGAGGGCGAGGACGTGCCCCCTGAGCCCAGCTTCGACCCTGCCAACGAGGTGGGTGTGACCGAGCCCTTCGGCTACTTCGACCCTGCAGGCTTTTGCAAGAAGGGTGACAAGGCCGGCTTCCGCAACTTGCGCGCGGCCGAGATCAAACACGGAAGAGTGGCCATGATGGCTGCAGTGTCCTGCCCATTGGGAATGGAAAACGAGAAGGGAATTACTGTAGTATTCAGCGTTTAGATGTTAAGGTATTGTATGGGGCTCATGTACGTCTAGTGAAACCACAGGAGCTCCGCTTCCTACTCCCAACCCAGCATGGGTATACTATAGCATCTTATGGTATAGTATGGTATATTATGGTAGATGTTGGGGTAATATAGGGTCATATAGGGCTAATGGAAAAGAAAAGGAAAACTACCATATCCTTAAGGGTCCAAGTACCTAATAATCATACACTTACCCAAAACCTATACTATAATTACTATTACCCAAATCCCAAGTACCTCAATATTGGGTACTTGGACCCTTAGGGTGTATTGTAAGGTGGGTGCCGTCTTCCAGCACTACGTGAAATTCCCCGGCTTCGAGAACGTGCCGTCCGGACTTGCAGCTGTGGAAGTGGCTCCGGGCACCTACGGCTTCGCAGCTCTCTTCGCAGTGGCTGGCCTACATTCATTCTTCTATATCCCGTTATTTTTACCCCTATAGAGTATAGAGCCACCCCCCCATACTTCTGACGGTTTTCTTGTAGCCTAAAAAGAAGCGCTACTCGGGTGTCCTGCATATCCCTACATACCCCTGCTGTAGAACCCTTTCTAGCCACAAAACGCACCAAAAAGGCAGGCTACTCAGGTGGCTGGCCTCCAAATCCTGAACCCCAAACCCTAAACTGGCCCTAAACCCCAATCCCTAAACTCAACACCCCAATCCCCTAAAGCCTAATCCCTAACCCCTAATCCCTAAACCCAACATCCCAATCCCTAAACCCTAAACCCCAATCCCTAAACCCTAAACCCCAATCCCTAAACCCTAGACCCTAAACCCTAAACCCTAAACCCTAAACCCTAAACCCCAATCCCAAAGACCCTAAAACCCAACCACCCTAATACTCTAAAAGCCTGGGCCCCTAAAGCCCGAAAACCCTAAAACCCAACAACCTTAAAACCCACAAAACCCAGGTGGCTGGCCTCCTGGAGTTGGGAGCTTGGACCGAGGATCCCTCCAAGGAGCCAGGCAACTTCGGTGACCCTGCGGGCCTGAACCAGTACCTCGAAAATTTGGCTTTAGAGTTTAGGGATTAGTGTTTTAGGGTTTAGGGGTTTAGGGGTTTAGGGTTTAGGGTTTTAGGGTTTTATGGTTTAGGGTTTAGAGTTTAGGGTTTTAGGGTTTTGGGGTGTTTAGGGTTTAGGGGGTTTAGGGTTTAGGGGTTTCAGGGTTTAGGGGACCCAGTACCTGGTCCTTTTAGTTTAAGGTTTCGGGTTTATAGGGCTTATGGGGTTTTGAGTTTAGCGTTTATAGGATTATATAGGGTTTATGTAGGGTTTATATAGGGTTTATAGGGTTTGAAGTATATAGGGCTCATAGGGTTATGGGTTGTAGAGCAGGAGCAATGATGCAGGGGTTTCAGGTACACCCTGGAGATGCGCAACCGCGAGATCAACAATGGCAGATTTGCCATGTTTGCTGCCATCGGCATCATTGCCGCCAACGTTTACACGGGCAAAGATGCAATTGAGCAGTTCGGAGCATGAGCCAAAATCATTTTACAAGCTTTGCCAGAAATGGTTTAACATGCTTGGCATCATTGCAACGTGGGCTACCAGTCCTCAGACGCATAACCCTGATGTTGAATTCAAAGCAATAGTAGTGTCGAATTGTTAGAGGCTTCAGTTTACTAATCAATCGCCATGGCAAGCATGCTCTGAATACGCCATTCCATGTTATCTCCGTTGTCATGGTTGCAAGAGGATCGCCCGCTCCTGATGTCCAAGCAAACATTGGCAAGCTAACTTTCTAACTTGCGCAGGCTTGGCCTTTAAACTAGAGAAATTTTGTCTTTCAAGGGACCCAAAACGTCGAAATGTTTAATTTCCAAGAAGGCCGAGCCGGCTTTTAACGGCTGTTAGCATCCAGCACAGCCAGCCGCAGCTCACAACGGGCAGTGGACATCATCATGCAGTGGCCAACTGACGGAAACATCCACGTCTTTGCCCAAAGGTCCTTAAACCCTAACCCTAAGGGTCCAAGGACCCAAATAATAGGGTTTCAGGGCCCAAATACTATAATATCAATGGTACTTGGGCCCTAAAGCCCTATTATTTGAGTCCTTGGACCCTTAGGGTAAGCCTAA